TTCACCCCCCAAACTAACCCACCCCCCCAGAACATAACAGACGCCACAATCTTCACCGGCGACCAATCCTCCCTCCCCTTCCTCCAACACTTCATCTCCGCCTCCGGCGGGGGCTTCGACATAATAATCGACGACGGCGGCCACACCATGACACAACAAATAACATCCGCACAAACCCTCTTCCCCATCATCAAGCCGGGGGGGATCTACTTCCTCGAAGACCTCGGGACCTCCTACCTCGCCGAGTACGGCGCCACCCCCGGCGCCCGCACAGCCATGGACATGGTAACCTCTCTCATCCACGACCTGAACGCCGATCTGAGTTACAATAATCACAAGGGTTTTAGAAAGAATGCTTTTAGTGAGAGTATGCGCGGTGTCGAGTGCGGCGAGGAGATCTGTGCGTTTTTTAAGAAGGAGATGCCCGTGGGGCATAAGGGGGTGAAGGCTGTGCCGAAACCGGGGGCGGGGAGGGAGATTAGTGGGTTTCCGGTGCTGTATCCGGGGGTGTAGGGGGGACTGCTTGATCTTTTCTGGGGGAGAAGATGGGTTGTGAGAATCTTTCTAGGGAGAAGATAGGTAGGGATTTTGAGAACCTTTTCTAGGGAGAACATGAGAATTAATAATCTCATCACTTAAAGAGAGGAGACGAAGCGGCTGGAAACGTTTTTGAAGGATAGGTTTAAGGACCTAGGGACAGGACCTCCCCGAGATCCAAATGGATGGATAGGTTTAATAGGACGGCGTTCTTCGGTGTTCTTTATTTTTATATCTGCCCCGGTCGGTTTAAGATAGGCTAGCTAGACTATATAAATAGAAAAAAGCAAAATGAGTAATCACGTACCTTTATAAATCCTTATTTCTGATTATGTATTGAAAATCCATATATAGCTTGTTTATATAACGATATCATGTTGGTAGTAGATATAAGTTAAAGGATAATTCCTCTGGTTCTTTGATATAAATCTAGCGAGCTTAACTTTCGTGTCTATATTTTAATAGAAATTATAAAATTTATAGTCCATTTACCTCGCTATAAATCTATATATATAATATATAAATCTAAACGTATAAATCAAGTAAGTTAATATGGTAAGATAAATAAAATAAATCATGCTATTTATATCAACTAATAGGGATTAACGAATAAGAGTTATATACATGCAAATGAATAAGAAAAAGTACGTATATATGCAAAAGATATGTCCCGTATTTCCAAGCTGGCGAAGAAGTTATTATTCTTCATCCACATGATCCATCATCCATAAAATCAACTCCTAGTACCAAGCCCACCAAGTTCTTCGGCAGCAGCATTCTCCTCCGCATCCCCTTCATCATCCACAAAATCAAAGCTCGCAGTTCGAAGACGAACAAGTTCCTCAGCTGTAGCAATTTCCTCGGCATCCGCTTCTTCATCTTCCTCATCACTGCTATTCGCAACCCGTTCCGGATGATTCGCCTCGCGATCCCGATCTCGCGCCTCACTCCTCACACTGCTGCTATACCCATTACCCGGGACCTTCTTGCGCACGAAATCTTGCGTGTGGGCATTCGCGAGAGCAGTCTTGATGGATTTGATGGGTGATATTCTTCTCTTCAAAGACCCGCCATCAAGAGCTTGGGCTTCGAGACGACCACCATCATGATCATGTAAGCTCGGTGTTTTATTTGCTTCGGCTCCAGGTTCAGGCAAAGTACTATCCCGATGTTCATCTTCGGGGTGGTCCCATATTGAGTAAGGCAAAGGAAGGTCTCTAGAAGCCTTGTTCCTTTCCACATTGGTAGCATGTTCGTTTTCAACCCGAAAGAGAGTCCACATGCCACGACGAGTAACCTCGGCAAAGGAGACCATGAAGGATACGAATGTATTGTGTTGAACATCTCGAGTGTAAATCGCGTAGAATATCCAACTGAATCTTAGAATTGGATCGACTACCATGGCCACGTAGTACCACCAGGTGGTTTTAAAGGCGCGAATGTCCCGGAGACGAGGCATATAGCCATCGGGTTTCAGAACCGACCAATCCATCACTAAATCCCAGATAGCTACATAATTAGAATACATCAATCTCAAGGTAAGACGGGTCAAAACTTACAGGAAAAAATGGAATTGATGGTCGCCACCACGATGAAGATAGCCAAGTTTCGTTGGGTTTGGTTGATTCGATAGACACTAAGCATAGCGAGAAATCCAGCAGTGAAGCAGTATTTGGCACAATTGACAAGGTGTGGAAAAATGTTTCGAGTATCGTAGTATCGTCGCAAACAGTGAAATATGCGCCAAATTGGAGGCAATGCCGCGAAGAACCCCAGCAGTCTAGAGTGTGTAGAATTGCATTGTTCTGGGCCCTGCCAATGGCGCGCATACAAGCAAAAGAAAAGCTCAATGTTCTATAAGGTCGTCAGCGACAAACACTGTAATCACATGATACGAGGCTTGAGAAAAACTGACGTTCATAAAATATGTCAAAGAGCAGTACATGTCACCTAATAGAAAGTCGCGGAACTCCACAGGGTATGATCCAGCCCAAAATAAACGCCACTTGTAGAACGGGTTAATGAGTTTTCGTATCAAGATCTTGGGGAACTTACATGTGAGTAAATGAACCACTCCCGACTTCGGTGGTATATCACCGGCGCAGGAAAAAATATTAAAACTGCCGTAACGAAGATGAGAATGACCGGAAAGTAGATATACATCTCAGAGTCGCCATAACGGGTGAAATTGACCCAAAGGAATAACCCCAAAAACAGGATACACAGCGAGGCAAACTCCGACAATTGTTGCCACTCCAGAGTATGCCTAGGATCAAATTCAAACACAAATTTATAGTTGATCTTGTGGCGAGTCCAAAGACGGCAATCCAAGCAGAACCAGCAAAATAAATAGAGAGCAAGAAAATATCCACCGTATATTTGAAGCAGATACCTTGTTTGTAACGCTATGGTAGGATTGGGGTGCCACAAGGAACTGTATCCGTAAATTGTACCTTGAATGGCAAATACAGCACCAGTGCCGATCAAGATACCATTGTGGAATGCACTTTTAGAATGATTACGCTTCTTTCCATAACTACTTCTCAGCTTTCCGACAGCAACTTTGTGATTGCCAGCCTCGAAGTAACGTGCGTATAGGTCTTCGAGGACATGTAGATGACCATCAAGCACGTCACTTTGTACAAACCAAGATTTATTGACCTTATTCGTCATGTATCTCAGAGGAGGATAAGCATTGATGGCCTTATCGTATTTTTTGTTGATCTTTCGAAAAGCGATTCTGTTTAGGAGAGCATATGATTTCAAAAGTTCCATCCCACGATAAGCCTCCCCCAGGGCAAGCTTTAGCTTCCTTTTGGCGGTACGGTATGGCACAACCTCTGTGGTGTGCTTTTGAACGTAATCAAGGCTATGGTCGGCAATACCGACTGGATTTTCAGGTTCCGTGGCAGGAGTACCCGTCATATCCTGCAGCGCCCTTGTGTTGGAGTTGGCGTGAGCGCGAGGCCCAAGTGCTTTGGCTTTGGTCGCTTCAACCATTCTTCCCAATGGACCAAGCCAAGACCTCCGATGGTATTTCTGGTCCTTCGTGCTGCTACTCATTGATGATACACGATTATGCCTCGTTACAGGTCGATTCTCGGTTCTGTGAGCATGCTTTGCCCGTGCGACGACGGCGAGTTCTTCGAGCCTCCGATCCCTCATCTCGTGTAGTTGCTCACGCAAGATGACTACTCGTTTACCAGCCTCTTCCTCTCTGGACTTGTAAAAGGACTCCACCTTGTCCAGTTCTCCGTCCAACCATTCGAAGAAATCATTTTGCCTCAATCTGACGTGGTCGAAGGCTACCAGATTGGTATCCGCACCTTTAAGCTCTGGCGGCTGCGCAGGGACTCCCGTTGAAGTAAACATTCGACGCAACTGAGTGTGTCCCCATCGCGCTCGCAGGGAAAGAGGGCCAGATTTTCGAGGAGGGGAGGTGGTACCAACCTCATACGCATTTGCCGCGCCACTGTGCGACGAATCTCGGGCAGGGGAGAAGGGGTTCTGAGAAGGGATGGCAGGCGCAGGAAGCTCGAAAGGATTGGGTTTTCTGTCATCGCTGTCGTCGGGGGTCAGAACAAAGCTCTCCACGATGGAATCGTCATATGAAGTCCACCGGCTTTTCGCAGGAGCAGGTGAGATGATGGCATCTACGAGTTCCGACTCTGGTCTTGAGTCTGTGGCCATCGGTGCTGGCGAGTCTCGAAGTGGCTCGTCCAGATGGTCCGCATGACTACGTCTTCTCCTCAATAGATTTGGGGAGCGATGAGAGGCTGAGGCGGGCAAGGTAGCGCCATACGAGCGTCGTTGATTTGATGGGGGAAGGAGGGGTCGATTGTGGGCATTGGCATTGGCATTGGCATCCGGCCGGCCATTTTGACTTCGGGGGGTGGCATTGGTTCGTAGGGTGGCTCTGGAAATGGCTTTGATATGTTTCTTGCCTGTTCGGTAGTCGAGGTACATGTCCCGCCATTCTGTTGAGGAGAGAGAAGTCAGCTTCCCATTGCCTTGGGGTTACCCTGAGGCACTAGATCATGCGCAATCAGAGGAAGGTGCGGGCGGATGGGGATGGCGATGTTGATGTTGATGTTGATGCAGATGTAGATGTTGGGGTGGAAGGTGTTTGAGTATTTAATGTATCGAGTACAGTGGAAGTAGATACACAGTAGCAGTATTCTGAATGCTGTCATATACTGCATGTCGAATACTGCTATGTGTACTGGTATATCGGTGTATCCTTACACTGCACTGATAGGGTTACACTGACCTTGAACCATATCCTGCTCTAATTCCTTTCCAAACTTCATTTCGCCCTACCTCAGTACCTAAGCTAAGTTGCGTAGAGCAATGTCATCCAAAACGGTACGCTTCGGCGATTCACATGGAGATGAGAATAAGCAAAGTAAGGCTGCAGTCCCAGTATCAGTATCGCAGGATTGAGCAGAGTAGAGGATGAGAGGGAGAGTAGCAAAGAGGTGCGTGGGAGATCTCGACTGTTCCTGAAGAAAGGAGGGAGTGGCGACTTATTAAACCCTCCCTCAACCTGCTGCCAATACTCCAGACGGGGGTGCAAATGGCGGTGGTGATACTGGTAGTGGTGGTGTGGGACAGAGGGGCGGCATTACAACAGCGTCACCATCACCGTTCTCCTTCGTAAACTTGCTGTGATAGTACTAGTCCGTAGCGAGTAGGTTACTCAGACTGCCCAGTGCTCCTTTGCTCCTTTGCGCAGGGACCAACGGTCCACCCGCACCCCCTGAGACTATCAAAGTAAAGGTTAATAACCGCGGTGGCCCCGTCGCCATGATCGTCATGGCCTCAGATTCAACTACACAAATCCAGCTAATCACAACCTTTGATTGCTCAACGAAACATGCATTGCAACATCTGAAGAGCCGAGTTTGTAGGTAAAGAAAGGACGATAGTAAGAGGGACGGGTATTACTCTGTACACGCCTGAGTTATAAAGATATGATACTAAAGACCTCATACAACCAAATCAATTATATGAACATTTTAGAACAATTAATCCTTTTACTCCTTATTAACCTAAGTAGAATGGAACAATTGATTTACTTGTGCCAGACTTGTGGTATAGTTGATAGCGTGTACGGAGCAATGACCAGGTTTCTTACCTAGACCTATTACAGACAAATTTGCGGTACAAGGTACTGTATAGTTTTCCTCGTGTTGTTGCTGGAAACGTGATTTTATCCGAGTGAAAAACCGGTAAGAATCGAAAATTCATTCATATAAAGAGCGAGTGTGTTTTACTAAGACTCGCTATTTAGCGGAGGCTTCCCATCGAAAAACTGTGGTGTAAATGAGTTAACCTTTTATGCCATCTCAGCCAGTTTCCAAAGATTGGTCTATCCACACCTTTTTCCCGGAAACAACACAACCTTTTCTGGAAACAATACATGGAGAACTAAACATAATAGGAACTGATGCGAGTCGATCTCTGGAGTAAATCAAAGATTCTCACAATCTCAACGATGCATAATACGACGGGATATAAGGACGAGTAAGGTATCAGGGAAGATACTGTATGAAAGCATAAGGTTGATGGATTAGCTTATTCTAGAAGATTGAGTTGCGATCAGTCGTATACCAACACTATATCACACATGTCACACAATGGTCAAACGGGGGCTTGGACATTCGGTTCTTAATTTACTCGCTGCCCGGCACTTGCACTTGGGAGATCCATCTACCGGTAGAAGCTGATGGGCGCGTGGGGTCTTGCCATCTTGGTATGGGTTGACCACGGCTGGCGGGGGAAGATGAGAGTGCAGATGTAGTTGGCGATAGGATCAAAATAATACTGGTAGGAAGGTAGCGAAAGCTTGTTTCTGGAGAAGATGGCCTAGAAATGATTGCTAGTAGTGTGTCATTTTTCACTAAGCTACCTAGTTCGGAAGGACGTCCAAATTTGAATTATTTACAGCTATAACCATATCCTTGTTCCAAGTCTGATCCTTCCACTGTCCTTTTGACGTGAAGTTGTACAACTAGGCTGATTTTGTCAAGCCCAGGATCCTTCAAGACCCTCCCCTCCATATAAAAAGTTCTCCGATCGAAAGACTAGATGACCTTTAAGATCAAAGATGGGTTCCTGAGTACTATGAGTAGAACTCCGCTTTCTAAGGACTAGAGCTCAGGTTTCCTAGAACGATAATTCAATACGGAATGACTGCCGGCTGCCCACTGCAGAATGAGTTTAGGCAATATAGACAATCATTAAAGTTTTCAAGTAACAGATCCTGTTTCTACTTAAGTAGATACCGTGAAAATTTAAAAGAGATGGGAGGTGCGAAATATCACGGCTCAAGGCTGATGGGAGCTGACTTTCCCAGAACAAAAAAACAAACTAAAACTCGGGCTCTCCTTTTGAAGATATACTTGTAGGCTTGGCGTCGGACTCGGCTAAATCTCGATCGTGGATTGTTTTGTGGTGCTACTAGATTTGCCCGATTGGGGGTATTATCTTGGTGCCTCAAATACACGGCCACAACATCTTTACAAGCCGGCGCGGCTCTTCATATCCATGCTCTCTTTTTCCTTGCGCGTCATAAAGGTACAACCTTGTGGTCTACGTCTCAACACACACTAGAAAGAACATCATTGCACTTCCCCTTGGGCGTGTTTTACTTGGTCCGATCAACCTCGGTTGCCTCACGGTATAGCCCCATCATGGAGGATACGGCAGATAGCGACAGAAAGGAGCCTTCAGCCTCGCCGAGCGCAACAAACAACTCCAGTGAAGAAGTCGAAAGCGCCATTGAGAAGCCCAAAGTTGCTGCATCAAAGCAAGATGAAGCCTCGGAGGCACTGGAAGAAGGAGAAGAGGTCGAGGACCGGCCAGGCGAGGTGAGCACAACCAACTCGGATGCGAATTGGGTAGAGGGGCACAATGGAGCAAGTGAGCCATCCGCCAGTGACGGAACGGCAGACGCCCCGCCACTGCCAGACGAATCAATTCCTCCATTGCCAACCGAAGCCCCTCCTACCACATCAGCACCAGACGATGGGTGGGCTCCGGTTTGGGAAGAATCGGCACAGGCTTTCTACTTCTACAACCACTTCACCGGCGCAAGTCAGTGGACGAATCCCCGAGTTCCAGAAGCAGATGCTGCTATTCCCCAACCAGGCCCACCCGGCGTCGCAACTCCAGTCGCAGCAGCTACGAATTCCCCCCCTCCACCGGCAGCAATAACTGGTTATAATCCTGCGATACATGGCGATTACGATCCCACCGCGTGGTATGCTCAACCGAATGCTGCTGCTGAGGTATCCGCATCCGCAGGACAAGCAGACCAAACGGACGTATATGCGGCAACGGCAGCCTTCAATCGATTCACAGGGCGGTTCCAGAATGCCGATATTACCCCTGACAATTTCAATGACGAGAATAAGAGCAAACGACAGATGAATGCATTTTTCGATGTCGATGCTGCAGCGAATAGCCACGATGGGAAAAGCTTGAAAGCAGAAAGAAGCGGCAAGAAGCTGACCAAGACGGAACTGAAGCAATTCAAGGAGAAGCGAAAAGCGAAAAAAGAGGAGAAGCGGAGAGCTTGGCTGAGGGATTGAAGAATGTATCATGGAGTTCTCGCATCTTGCTGGCGTTATTTTGATCATGGAGTTTAAGGTTGGGGATTGGGAGCGATCCACGGGCTCAGGAGATACGACCGTTCAAGGCGATTCTGGTCAATTTGTAAAATTATCCATCCAAAAAGGAGACGAGGGGTGGGGCAGTCTCTTCCTGTACTCATATTGTTCAAAGTTCATACATGTCCACAGGGACGCAAAATCAAAACCAAATACTCTAGGCCATGGCCAATAAGATGTCTATCTACAGAATGTGCTTCTCCCCGCATGATGCATCAAAGCCATTGAGTTTGAACAAGCGTCCGGGCTCTGGGTGTAGCTCCTTCTATACAGTATCTGGAAGACATTTTATTTCTTGAACATTAGAAGAGTTACTCCCAACAATCCTTATTATACAATATAGTATATATTCGCAGCATAAGATACGAAATTCGGCTATGGCTATAGAAGGTTAATAGGGTGAGCGAAATTGTATACATGCATATCTAAAAAGAAATTGAAAAAAATATCCGACAATGTCTCTCGTCCACTTTTCTGATACTGGAGAATAAAGTTGGCCGATAGGGTGTCTTTTCCACATCAAACTCGTGTGACTCTCTTAGCGATATTTGGATTCTTTTAGTACTTTGAAGTAGAATCGCTCTTCTGCCTAGATTGAGCCATCGCGTAGGCGTTCCAAGTCAAGTGTCAGAAAGTAGAAGCGGTATATTATTTTTAGGGATGCATGGAATAGAGGCCATAAATTTGACACTCCACTCCATCCAAACAGGCATCTGGCTGTGTCATTGGCCCGTTTGGGTATGCAAATAAGGTTTTCCCCAACCACACCGTCTGAGTTGTACATTCATCCCAAATTCTTGTCCACATCTACCTGGTCTCCTTAGTACCATCCACCCAGATTTTGTGCATACGCATTGGACGATCTCACCACCTCCTGCACTAGACAATTGGCTGTGGAGTCCGTCAGCGTGGACGACCTGCCCGACCACCCCGATCAGCCTCATGGAGGGCACAAACCTGCAGCGGCCTGGTGGACGGCAGGAATGGGCCGAGGAGCGCGAGCGCGAGCGCGGTGCAACCACCAACGACCTCCTCAGTAGTGATCGTGACCGTGACCGCGATGTCTCTCTAGAGACGACCAGTGCAAGTCCAGCGAGATCAGGAAGCTCTCCGGCCGGTGCGAAGCGAAGAGATGGCAAGAATTCCGTGGTTCCCGGCCAGCGCTTCGCTTGCACGAGGTGCTCCAAGACCTACACGAGAATTGAGAATCTGACCCGCCATCAAGCAAATCGTACGTTCTCTCCTTGTCACCGTCGAACCATGTGTATACTTTGTATGTTTTGATCTGTAAGCGATGTTGGGCACAAGTCGCTGTCAATCTTCTCTCATAAGATGCTGGCTGGCAAAGAACCACTTAAATTAGTCTGAATTCAAACTCACACACATGTTTTTGTTGTTGGACCAAATTCGTGGGCCCGAATCGCTTTGACCTTTATATTGTGTTTCTGGCAACACTGTACAATCCCCGTACATTACATTAATACCTGCTTACTTTCCACTACAGACGAAGGGGGCAAGTTCAATTGTCCAGTATGCAGAAAAAGTTTCACGCGAAGTGATCTCTTGAACCGGCATCGCCGGATCCATAACTCACACCCAGACTCTAACAACACTAGCGAGAATTCCAATGACTTTCCATCACCTTCAAGATCAGCGGGATCTTATGAGGGTGGTGGCACGCCGATAAAGCAAGAGACGAGAGGGGGTCCGCTTCCTTCTCCAAACAGTATCCTTCAAGGCCAATATGGAGAAGCGCACCATCAACCCCCTACCTCTAACTACCAAGCCCCCTTTCAGCAACCGACACCCCATAGTGATAGTCTACCAATGATGTGCCCGGGAGCCCCCAATCAAGATCTCAACGACCTTATGGAAGCTGCTCTTGCCTCTCAAGATACATTATCTTTTACTCCCGTGGAAAATTTCAACCCGAATCTATGGGGTGGCTTCATGTTGTTTGCCGACAATTCAAATTCTTATATGGGCTCATACGATGCTGACATATCATGGACACTGAATTCACTTCATTCGGAGGGCTCGCCAACGAATTACCTCGACGATCCAAACTTTGGGGATTTCGTTTTAAATCCATATCAGTACCAGGCGGTCTCTTATAGGCAAGACGATGTAAGCGCCTTGGACGCTGATGATGCCGTAGATGAGGATAAAAATGACTGGCCCGACAAACCAGATAGCCAACTACCTCGCGCGCCTCGTGTTGTGCCACTCCATCTGATACCAACATCATGGCAAACAGTTCTGGAAGAAGCAAGGTCGATTCTATTCGCTCCGAATATTGTCGGGGCAATCCGACCTGTCAACGAACCACTCCGAAACGAACTCATCTGTGCTCTTGACGACCCAACCTTTAGAAATCCATTGTCCAAACCTCAAATCAATGATGCCATGTTTCCACCTGCGGAAGTAATCGAGTTCTTCCTTCATATGTATCTGCAGCACGTACATTCCCGTTTTTCTGTTCTTCATCTCCCAACTTTCGATATCTACAACACTTCACGACACTTATTACTGGCCATGTGTTTTCTAGGCTCTAGTCATTCTAGAATGGATCGAGGTAGATTTTCAAGATTATTCTATGACCACCTCAGGCTTGCTTTCCTACGCTCCTCGGAGATGGATCCAAAATCTGTAAGTTTTCAAACCCCCAACGTAAATCGCCTCTTTTAAGTGCTAATGCAATTTTGTTTAGCTCAGGATTACTGACAACATTTTGACGTCTTTCTTGTTGTGCATGACTGGCACATGGAGTGGCAGTAAACAATCCTATGAGTTTGCGGAGGGTGCCCGTGGAACACTCGTCACTACTATGAGACGAGCACGGCTTCTTGATTGCCGTCCGTCGTCTCGAATATCCGTCGAAAAGTACAAAGCCCCTGGAGTAAGTGAGTGGGATGCTATTTGGTTTGCGTGGGCCGAAACCGAGAAACGAAAACGACTAGGCTTATGTATATATGTGAGAAACATTTCCACCGCAAATTTTGATAGTTGAAAACTTGGAGCCTCACTAACAACTCCCAGATGTTCGACTGTCAATGGTCAGCACTCTTCAACTGCCAACCATATGTCAGCAAATCCGAAACCACAAACTGTGTCTTCCCCTGTGCCGAAGATCTCTATGAAGCCCCTACATCAATAACCTGGAGACATCTCATCAATGAGCCAAACAGATCAGCCTCAAGCTACTACCTGCACGCTCTGAACGCCTGTCTCCTCCACAAATGGGTCAAGCCCGCGCCCCCGATCGTAGACACGGGCAGCGACTTTGGAAAAATGGTTCTCATCTACGCAATCCATACCCACATCTTCGAATGGCGACAATCAACCAGTATGCTCAACCCAACGGGGCTCATGGGATCCTTTGGCAACTCGGCCCTCCCCATTGGCAAAGGGCTCCAGGAACGACGACAATGGCTCATCGATGGCCTGGACAGTTTCCAAGACTGCTACGGCCATTCCGGCGTCTCCACCGCGACCACCCTCCTCCACCGTCTCGCCTACGTCGCTCTCGACGTCAGTCTCAGCGACATGCATCTCGTGGCCGGTCGCTCGAATAACCTCCACGACGGCAACTTCGCCGAGGAGAACCTGAAGCACTGGGCCAACTCGGAGATGGCGGGGACCACCATCGGCCATGTCTTTGCTATGCTGGATCTGTGTCATCGCACGATTGAGTATGGGAATGTGGCGGAGGCTTCGTATGAAGTTGCTGTTTGTCTGCTTACGGGGGGTATCATCTGTTGGGCGTACGCGAAATTACGGGTTGGTAGTCAGACGAACGAGTGTGTGGAGCGTGTTAGGAGGGCCGCAGTGGGATTGAAGGGGATGGGGTGTTGGAGGATGTGTAGCACGTTTGGACGGATTTTAGAAGGGTTTGAGGTTGTAAAATGAAGGCGGCGTGATGGGGGGATATAGTAGATGGGGTTTTGATGTTTGGACTTTTTCTTGTTGGATTTGTTTGTTGAGGTTTGAATTTGGTTGATTGGATTGGTGGGCGGCTCTTTACAGTTAATTCTTCTTTTCTGGGTGCTTTTGTTGGTTTTGGAGTTCGATTCGGTTGGGTTTGGGATATATGTGAAGGGGATGGGGTAGGGGTAGGTGGTAGGTGAGAAGGGCGCAATATATAAAGGAAAGGAACGGAATATCCTTTAGCTGCTGCGGCTTGGTTTCATGTTAGGATTGGTTCGCCACTGCCATATATTTATTTTAGAGAGTATAGAGTTTTAGTGTAATTTTGTGAATTTACTGCTTTTTCTTTTTTTCTTTTTTTGTTTTTTGTAAGAGGTATCGGTTATATACAGAGTGTATATAAGACAGTGGAAGTGGGATGGTCAGATGACTGTTAGGTACATCGGGAATCAAAAGAGTAAGAATTTGACTTGTGAAAATGACTTTACTTTTTCTAACTATAAGGACAGTAAAGGTCTATATATACTTCTTAGATAGATTCTAGGAGGTTCGATAGATTATAAATAGAATAGAAGTGCTTATAAATAGAAAGGGATACTAGAATGTTTCGGTTCACGTGATCGAACGTTCTAGAATAAGCGAGAACAGACTAAGATTTAAACCTAAAGTCTATTAGTAAGGTAATTATTACCTAAATGAAACATTTTTTAAAGGGGCTCTTGATGTTTTGGAAATATGTAGATTGGGAATTTGGGATGATTGGTACAGTAAGGAAGGAAGGGAGCGGTATGGCGATGCGGTGTTAATGGCGAGTTTTCGTCTGTTGGTCTTAGGATGGGATGGGATGGTATGTAGTACCTTAGTATGGGTTGGCATCTTGGTATGAGTCCATAGGCGTAGGGAGTCGGGAGTCGGGAGTCGGGGCGTATGAAAACTGGACGATGGAAGTTTGACTTCAGATTCAGATTTTCGGTTTTCGGTGGCTTGTAATATGTCATCGTGCATTTCGGGATTTGAGGCGCGGACTTTTGGTTTCGGGGTGGGAGTCGATGGTACAGTACATTGATTTGAGGGGGTGGTGTTAGATGGATGGTTGGATGGGTGGAGAGGTAGATGGGTGGAAGAGAGTTCATATCCGCAATGCTACCACGAGGAAAATCGTTGTAGGTGGTAATTCACCTAGAAAGAGAATGATAGGGATCTCGGTTTTTGTTGATTTTGTGTGGGTTTTCGTGTTGGCTGCTAGGGGGGGGTGTAGGAGAGAGAGGCGGGAATGAGGACATGATATACGGAAGGGGTGGTACGAGGTGACAATGAGGGTGGAATCTTGAGCTTTTGCTAAGATGAGCAACAAGACTTTTGGGAAATACTAGGGATGAGGCTTTTGGGTGGATGCTTTTAGAATATTAGTGTGGTGTTTTGGGAGTTGGACTTCGTGGGGTTTGGTGTTGATTTCTCTGTGTCTTGTTGGAAGGGGGTTCATTTATGTCGTGAAAGGGATCAGGAACTTCGACATGAAAAGCCTGATAGCCTATTCTAGTAGCGAAAGACTGGGTCGCTTCATTGACTCTCTGGTTGTTCATTCTATGGTCATTCATATCAGTTCAACCGTTCAAGTCCTGGGAATATTTTTATGTTAGTGGCAAAATTAGCACTTTGGTCATTTATACTTACAACATCGTTAGTAGCAATGGAGTGATTCGTTCAGGGTTTACGTACGATAGCACTTCCAGCGTTTTTGACTTATATAAACGACGGGGGTTCTCCACTGATTTCGGATCGCTTAGCGAGTTCTTTAGCGAATAGCGCTCGGTAAATGGAATTTATTCTATGGAATACTAGCGATTTTATTTTATATAGAGTAATTTTAGAGTACCTTTGAGAAAGAATGAAGTATTCTCACTACTAATACTATTTCTGTCTTTTATAATAACCCGGTCTCTATGAGAGAAATTCAGTGTATGGAATCTCCCCTCCCCTCCTCTCCTAGGTCTTAGGAAAGGAGTAGGAGATCTGTTTTAACGGCTAGGAGAAGGAGAGGAGACTAGATCACTTGTCTAGAAAGGAATAGATAAGGAGAGGTGGGATTCGGGAGAGGATAGGAAGGAGAGGCTGAAAATAGGGCTATTTATAGGTACGCTAAGTTTGTAAGTACCGGTACGCTAGGTCGTCAAAGCATACGAGCTAGGTTCGTTAAAGTACGCAGGTGAGCTAGGTTCGTTACAGGTCAAAGTACGAACGCTAGGTTGTAAAAGATATTCGGAATATCCCGAGAAATACCTCTTGCCCTAGGTATAGATTAAGGATATATATTCCTTATATTCTACCTGTTTTGCTACTAACTACTTACGTTCTTCTACTACTACCTACTAAACCCCACAATACTAAGCCTTAGGAGTACTCCTGCCCACTCCTATCTAGGGCCGTAGCAAGGAGAAGGAGTACTAATTAGTTAGGATCAGAGTAGGAAGGAGAGCTTGTTAATTTATACAGGTAGGAACGGAGATTCTAGCGGAAAGGAGTAGCGGGGAGGACTTCGAAGGGGGGATACTATATACTAGAGAAATATACTTAGACGAGATTAATATAGTAGTTTAGCGATAATTGCTATAATTTGTTCAAGGTATAGTAATAGAGAGGCGATATAGTAATAGTTTATTCGTAGTATTAATAAGAATCTATAATCTTTAGTACTAGTAATGTTTAAAACATATATAGATCCGATGGCATCTAGGCTTCCATTCTTACTGAGGTCATTAGCGCCAAGTGGGCCAATGCGACAAAACGTATACTATAGCGCTTAACCTTTTAACTTTGTAACTTCGCTACTTAATAACAACTTGGTAAAAATAGATATTAAATATTAGATTTTACGAGGCCAGACGGGCTCGCAGGCTCGCCCTCGCCCTCTTATTACGTCTAATAATCTCTTTATAAGTTTATTGAATCTATTTAAGTATTAACTAATTTATTATTACGTAATTAGGTTGCGAGCACGCCTCGCTAGCTACGCTGGCTCGTGCGAACTCGCCGGCTCTTACCTTAGTATCTTAGTTAAGGTTTTATAATATAATAATAATAAGTACGTTGTACTGAGACCCCGATATTAACCGAGTACGGTAATCAATAACAGCGCTGTTTTCCAAGCTTTTCAAAGCTTCAGGGAGGCCACTTCCGGTCATCATTTCAGGGGTTGATGCGGGTAGGCTAGCTATGCCCCAACCCCGCCCAACTAACCCCCAACTTACTCTACAAGCTATGATACGAATTCACCAACACTGTTGCAACAAAGTAACAGTTCTCGGTTAATTGGTACTCCCTTCTTCCTACTTGAATTTAGTCCACGATTGAGCAAGTGGAAACCTTCTCACCAAGTGACTATCTCTATGTCCATCTCCGTCTTAATCTAATACACATACCCTCGTGAAATGGCTAGTATCATTCTCACAGCCCTTGGGGGGCTTGGTGTTTTTCTTGCGTTCGTTTTGTCCCGCCAAATCTCGCAATGGCGGCGCAATTACCAGATTGCTTTGACAACTGGCTTTCCAGTTTTCTACTCTCCGTGAGCAGCAGCTCCTCATTCATCTATCCCTATCACCAATGTATCGCGCTAATATGTCCTCCGTAGAATTCAAATTTCTAGCATTTGGTGGATGATGTTGTATCCGGTATTGATGCCGATTCTGAAGCTCCTACCACAATCATGGACCAGCCCATGGTTACAGTACGTCCTCCTCTTCTCGTACCAGAAAATGGCGGCAATATCTGATAAGCATGGAATAGGATCGCGCAGGTTTGGAAAATCTGGAAAATGGGATACGAGCCCTTCCAAGAAGCCGGTACCGACACATTTATATTGTCCACACCGAGTGGTAATATGCTCTGGTCTAGCGATAATGCCATAATCCGCGATTTATTTACCCACCATCCCAACGTTGATGCTCCTGTGGAGTTTTGGAAGTTTTGGAATGTCTATGGCCCGACTATTGCCTCGGTTCAAGGCAACGAATGGAAAGCTCATCGTAGGGCAGTCACAGCCGGGTTTGGTCCTAATATGAACCAGACGGTGTGGAAAGAGACCCAGCACCAGACCGAAACGCTTGCAAAACACTGGATCGAAAAATATCAGGCTATCATTCCAGTGATCAGATATTGGACTTCGAGGCTAGCTTTGAATATTATCTGCAGTGGATTCTTTGGCATGAAGGTTAAATGGGATAGCGACGATGCTGCACCCTTACCTGCTGGCCACAACATACCTCTGGATGAAGCACTCCCCAAGTTCATCGAGAATCTTGCAGTTTACTTCACGGTACCGACCGCATTGCTGGGTAAATTGCCAGTGAAGAAGTTCCAAGATACTTACCAGAATTTCACAGAGATCACCTCGTACTTGGACGAATTCCGAGCACAAGTCCTGGATAATGTTGAAGCTGTTACAGCCAAGAAAAACAAAAACATTCTTGGTAAGACCCCTCAAGCTCTAATTGGAATTTGTAGAAACTAACATTCGTGATTAGAGTCCGTTGTTCTCGCCGGCGTTAATGGAAAGGACCCTCTGCCCAAGGAAAGCGTTCTTGGTAACATTTTCTTTTCGCTCCTTGCCGGACATGAAACAAATGGGGGTACTTTGGGTTTTATCTACTTATTGATGGCGATTTATCCGGAATATCAACAACGAATGCAAAAGGAACTAGACAACCAACTCGGGACGCGACCGGCAAGTGAGTGGACACTCGAAAACGACTACCCAGTCTTGAAACGAGGGTTTCTGGGAGCAATTCAGAAGGAAGTCCTTTATGTGTTCAACCCAGCATCATTCATCATGCGAAAGGCACTTAATCCTGTCACTCTCGTCGACTCGCACGGTAAATCCCATCGTATTCCCGAGAATACACTTACCCTTATCAATAATGCTGGACCTTCACGAAATCCGAGCAATTGGAAACGATCTATCAAAGTCTCGCCGGAGAGGACTACGGCGTTGTGAGATTCTCCAGCTCTGTACATCGACCCCGAGAGATGGTTGGATGAAAATGACCAAGACCTTGCGACAGCGACATCATTTGGTGCTGGTGGAAGGGTTTGTCCGGGCAAAGAATTTGCCAACGTTGAATTAACGGCATCGATGACCACTTTGTTTAAGTCCTACTCTATGGAACTTGTGGTAGAGAAAAATACGGTTGACGAGTGTGGTGGCGATGAGAAATTGGCTTGGAAACAAACACGGGACAAGGCAATCAAGATGATTTATGATGATCTTGAGGCGAACATCACTATCGGGATCCACAAGGATATTCGGACTCGGATTGTGAAGCGCGCATAGTAATGCCGCAATGCATACGGGATGTTATAGGTTAAACTGGAATTGCTAGTTCTCGGGTATGGAGAGGATATACTTGAGCACTCCGCCTGAGGCGGTTTGATATGCATTCAATTCAACAGATGTCACTTCATGTTCTTGGTTCCAGTTCAGGGGGTTGTTTTCTTCTGTCTGGAATTGCCCTCAGTGTTTTTTGTATTATATTGTCGGTCAAACCATTCACATCTAATATCACATTTCTGTTCGCTTAGCAAAGCAAACATACTTATTTACTTCTGAGGCTTGAGAAATGACCCTAATAACAATTTAAAGAAATTAGAAGAACCTTCAAGGGGAGACTAAAAATAACATATATCGCGGATACTCGCTAGGGTGGGTCCAAAATAGTTCAACTTTCTACTATTGTCTACCCTAGGTCCACATCTTTTTTCTCGAACTCGATTTGTTCTAAACGATCTAGTTACTTCTACTTTAGACTAGAGTACCAACTTCCTTCCGAGGATATATTCTTACGGGCCCCTCCCCCCTTTCCTAACCCCCTAAATAGGGGGTATAAAGGAATAGGTAAGCGCCCTCTCCGCCCTCTTTTAAATATTTAGGCCTAATTTGTCTTTAGTATATCTAAAGTTCTAGAGAGGAGTAAGGTTAGCTAACTATTTTTTAGTAGAGCTATAGAGGTAGTTAATAGTTACCTTAGTCTAATAGTTAAACGCGCTCTAGTAGATATTCTCTCGTCCCTAATAGAACTTTATAACTAAATTACTACTCACTACCTTTTATTCTACTACGCTTATACTTCTAGATCCCCCTCTTGTAACGAATACTCAAACTGGCTAACTAAACTTGGCTGGGTGTTCGCTGGTTGGTATGCTATGATAAGAAGAAGACTATCGGGTTGTTCACTTGGAAGTGAACTCGTTACTTGTATCAAAGATGTCAAACTAATATGATAAGATTGATAACTAAGTTGAGCACGAAGCTCCTATCTAATGGCAGACGTGCCAGTCTTATATAGATCCTTTCATGTTCGTGGATCGTACTGGATCATGCAGATCTACGCTCCTGGATCGTGGATCATTACGATCCAAAAGATCCAGGTCACGTGACCTTTCCAATCAATGAAAATCCCTGGATCGCTTAGCTGGTCTAAGGATCCCTTTCTGCTATAAGAAACCTGGGTGTGCCTGCCGAGGGTTGCGCCTCTTATTATGACAAGTATCACGTGAGCACGTGATTCGTGACAATAAGACGACTGCCCACTCCCACCCAGCTCACAACATTCTATTACCATTCTCATCAATCATCATGTCTACCACTTTCTATATGAACATTAGCCAACTATTCGATGTCAGCCCCGACCTTACTTCAGAATGTATTGGCACCAGCTCAAAGAATAACGCATTTCACCGTCAAATTTCAGCAAATACCCGCGCAGGGGCAAGTACGACACTCTATTCACTTGAACGTCTCGAATTGATTGATGAGCTCTTGAATCAGCTTCAGTCCATTGCGGGTAAACTTCTCTGTCACCAACACTATTTCCAACGAGATATAATGTGCAAGCGGTGGTGTCGGGCTCTCCTCGATATATACAGGAACTCTCTACCGTTTCATGTACCGGGTGGATTTCCAGAAGAGGATCAGACTATCTTGGCAGCAATCTTAGAGCTTTGGAGGCTCAAGGTTGACAGTCCATTCCCGTTGCGAGAGGAGGAAGCGGAGCGGGCACAGGAAGAACGGGCGGAGGAAGAACGAGCAGCCAAACGAGCGGAAGTAGAACTGGCTGATGAAACGAGGCGATCTGGGAAACCTAGACAGCCGGGATATCAGGAGTGGCCAAAGAATAGCAGAATGGCATGGGAGGATCTCGAGAATGTACCCTTTCCAGATCCACCATCATACGGATGTGGTGATAAAACCTGTGAAGTATTCCGAAACAAGTCAAGAGTTCAATGGTGTAGGCATGGCTACATAATATAGATCGTCTTTTGATAGATGGGAAAATTCACTAGGATATGGCGAAACTCAGGAAACTACGAATTATGTGGCACCCTGATGAGTTTACTCGTCGTCTAGAATGGCAGTTCAAGGGAACGACTTTATTCCAAATCATACCTAAACTGTACCAGTGGAGGGGTCCTGCCTTAATAATAGAAATAGAATTATAAGCTTGATTTGTGCTACTTGATCGTCACTTAAAAGGAGGTCAGGATTCGAGTTGTAACAAGTTCATTGCGTGCGTGCCCTGAGCCAGCGTTTTTAATCGTTGATCAAGTGATTGATGAGGAAGGAAGATTGTCCAAACATAACAGTAGAAAAACTATGGGATAGAGTGATCTCTTTGTTTGCTATTTCCTCGCCAACCTCTGGTCTCATTAGGAACATGCAGATATTAGAACACCTCAAGACATAACACCATTTCTTCTTCGACCATTCCCTTGCATCGAGAAAATTCCTAATCACAAACTTCTCGTGTTTACATTCTGCATTTGTACTTCAACCTTACTTCTTTCGAATTGATTGTCTTCTAGCACTACTCCAACATCAGGTAAGCCACCCCGCGCTTTCCCATCTGCCCTTCTGGTTCCAGACTTTTGTTTCATCTCTCGAGAATTCTTATAACTAGCTCTCTTCTCTGCACAATATTTCGGGCCTCTAGTTTATCCTCAGCGCCTTCTCCCCTTATACCAAGTAAGTCTTACTTTCGCCTTCCACTTTCATTCATATGTGCTGGTAAAAACCTGTTCTATGGTGTTTGTTATCTAATGTTTGGTGTTGAGTTGTCTCCCTAATATTCCTGTGAAGCAGGTGGTGGCCGATATTGCGAAGCCTGCAGCGATGATCTGGAATCGGGTAAAGGCAGCCGTAGAAGAAAAGAAGGACTTTTATATCACGACGATAAATGGCGAAGAGGTACTATGCTCGTAAGATTCCACCGATAAATGCCCACTGTAATGAATACTATGTTTCCATGTGCTTATACTAAAGGAATAGACCATGGTTGACAGATGAAGATATGTAATCACTGTTGAAGTGCTTGATCTCATTACCCAATATCCCAGAATGCACTGCGATCTGTTATTCCTTGAGGAGAACACACCGCCCTATTATAAGAGCTCCGCTTAATGTTTCGTATAGTAAATATGATTAGGACCTGCTATTTTGATTTTGGTTCCCTCGCGTTAACCTTTTTAACATCTTCTATCCAGTCTTCTCATTTGCTCTCTTCCGTCGATTGCTGCTCGTGACCATCAGCTCTTGCGACTTCAAGTACAACGGTTCTATATGTACAGAGTGAATATGAGTTATTGCCTCATTAAAGATTTAAAAGTCACACCCCTCGCATCTACATTGAAGTGGTAACAATACCTCCTAAAACCTCCTACACTTGACACCCTCAAATAGTAGAACTAAAACCTCCTAGAAACCTCGAGCGTTTCTTTCTAATAACTTCTGGAAATCTCTGTCACAGATTGCCCGAATCACTTTCCCAGTGTATAGCCTTGTTGCCAACGCTTTTTGAAGCACAATTACAAACCGTTCTACTAGGCGTACCCTTTCATGTGCGTTTGATAACCCCTAAAGTGAACTTGTACTTGATTCTGTGACAAGTAGCCTCTTTTCGTAGGTTAACACTATCCAATGTACCAGGCATCTCTGCAAATGCGTTAACATATCGGGCCTCTTTAAAGCGTTAGGCAGTAGCTTAGGTAACGGATTGTCAGATAGTGCTGTTGCGCATTCTAAGAAGTACTAAGTTACATCGAGGCCGTAGAAAAGCGTGCCCTATGAAGTCCTATACTCTCTTTCATTTTCTTAAGGACGTCCTGCCGACTTTAAAGAACCTTAGCCAGCAGCTCTAATCATAGATCCCGATCATAAATGGGAACTCCGCAAAATTATTGGCCAGAAGATAACTGTCCAGAACATAGTTGGCCAGAAAATAATTGGCCGTGAGAGGCACTTTCGGGTGGAATGGAAGGAGACGTGGATGCCTAGATCTGAACTGGGTGGAGCCAGGGAACTGATGGATACCTTCATGACCGAAGTTGGGGCTGGGACCGGAGGAAGGAAGCGGCCTCAAAAGCGAAGTCGGCTAGCTACTGGACTGCCTGATGCTCGGGATGAAGAAGAGCCAAAGAAGCGACGTAGTCGATCTTAGGCAGACGTGAGTTGGCAAGGATGTCTGGGCTTTAGGAGAGGATTGATAATATAGCGGCATAAAGGCATCAATGCATTATTACAAAGGTAGCAAACTTTGCTTACCCTCTGATATTGTGACAATCATGGATGGAATAGCTTCTTAAAGAGTTTTTGTTAAGACGTAAATTATTGCTTAAGCTTAGAGGATATCTTTCGAAATCTAGAAGGTCGTTTCTCGGTCTCTTTTCCTGCTTTATCTTGCTTAATTCGGAGCTCTGGATCCAATTTAGAGACTGTGCCTATTGTTACAATTAGCTATTTGAAATAAAATTAATGCTAATACGGGGCTTAAATTCTTACTACTTGAACTATCCAAAGATGCTATATTTTGCTTCACGGTCTCAGACTTTATATGATCTGGTCCAAGGGCCTTCTCTTTGCCTTGTAACGCCCGCTGGTACATCTGCTCGGCCTCCACCAGCTTGCCTTGATTTCTGTAGAGGAGGCCTAAGTTGTTGACTGTATCCAGGGTCGATGTGTGATCTGGTCCAAGGGCCTTCTCACGGCCTTGCAACGCCCGCTGGTACATCTGCTCGGCCTCCACCAGCTTGCCTTGATCTTTGTAGAGGAGGCCTAAGTTGTTGACTGTAGTCAGGGTCGATGTGTGATCTGGTCCAAGGGCCTTCTCTTTGCCTTGCAACGCCCGCTGGTACATCTGCTCGGCCTCCACCAGCTTGCCTTGATCTTTGTAGAGGAGGCCTAAGTTGTTGACTGTATTCAGGGTCGATGTGTGATCTGGTCCAAGGGCCTTCTCTTTGCCTTGCAACGCCCGCTGGTACATCTGCTCGGCCTCCACCAGCTTGCCTTGATCTTTGTAGAGGGTGCCTAAGTTGTTGACTGTATTCAGGGTCGATGTGTGATCTGGTCCAAGGGCCTTCTCAAAGCCTTGCAACGCCCGCTGGTACATCTGCTCGGCCTCCACCAGCTTGCCTTGAT